CTCTTCAATTTCTACCCTCCAAACTCCTTAATCCTCTATAACTCCATGGTCTTGGATGGAGGAGCGTGACTGAAGGTTTCATGTAAGAGCTTAACTAGGTTTAATAACCAGAGCATGTCCGCAGAGCAGAGTGCTTCGTCATATGACCGTATATCTGTCTGCATGCACAAGCCTCACGGACACATAAACACATATGTGCAAAACCTCCATGGCCACAGGATGGACTCTGACCAAGGAGAGATTACACCTCACAACATGACTAATACCCAGGTCTCTGAAGGAGTAGCGGAGATTAGAGTCAGAAACATTCATTCATCTGGTTCTCATAAGCACTGACAACACAGCTTACCATATGTGGAGCAGAGCCAAAGACACAGGGTAAGCAAATAGGGACACATACTGATAAAATGCGCATTTAAAGACACCCAATGAAACACAACACAGAAACCCACGCCAACAATGTAGATAGTTTTTGAGGGGAGGGGAAGCGAAAGTACTCTGCTATCAGTACTCCTCTTGAGTGGCTGAACAGGACTACTGGACTTAAAAGCGTGCATATTGTATCTTATCTGCAGCTGACTAGCACTTCATCATGTTAATATCATGCTTCACTGTCCTGGCACACAGCGCACATCCCACCGATGCTTCTGTCCTGCATCGCCAGAGGCATGGATTACCGAGAGATGAATAAGCAGTCACTGAGGCAACCAGAACAAAAAAAAGAAAAAAAAACTGACACACACCAGTTTAGGGAGTTGACCATAGCTCAGTGTGCAGTAGCTCCTTTTTCTTTTTTGGCATAAATATCTGGACAATTTCATCATATGCAAAAAAAAAAAAAGCACAGCAATTCCCTCAAGATAAACACAGAAAGTGGACTCTATAAGTCAACCTCCTTTTCTTGTTAACAGAGGCAAGCCATTCCCCATGTGACTGCTCTGTGAGAGAAGAGGATGTGAAATAGTTATGTGTAGCTCAGATAATGTGTTACCTGTTAATGTTGTTGATCTATGGCATGTTAAAAGGGACTATTTTTTGTTCATGTCGCGTTTTACTTTTGCTCATCCCAGATTTTTAGTCGAATGTTTTATGGCACGATTTCCCCTAAAACTCAACTCCCAGCTGTCTCCATTTTCCACTTCCTGTATCTAGTCTCCCCTGTCTTCCCCGACCCAATAAGCTGTCAGATGCAGATCATGGAGTGACTGACGCACTCTTTTACCCATGACTGTGTATTTACCCTAACCCCTTCAGCTCATGTCCTGTCTCTCTCGCACAGTCCTCGACACGACATTGTTCAACTGAGTAGTGCACACACACTGACAGATTGATGGGATCAAAAATGAACACAGATACATGCTTGAGCACTTCCAAAACACAGGAAGTCTTGCCTCACCCATCTTGCTCTACTTAAGCCTTAATACTTATGTAAACCAGCCTTTCCAAACCAGTTTTTCCCTTCTACTGCATGATGTTTTCTTTACGCTATATCTCGCTTCTAACTGTAAAAGGTCTTTAAAACTCTGTTAAAAAGCTGCTCTGCATCTCTACTCTGGCTCTTATCTCTTGCAACTGTAACATAGCCTGTGGTGAGCAATTTAATCTCTTGGCCTCCCATCCTGCAAGCAGTATTACTTTGGTGGGGAGGGGATTGCGTGTGGGCAAGGTTTTGCTTGCATGCCCTTAAACTCTAAAAATCACTTTGACACATGACAAATTCTCACATGACTTAAAGAGACATGTGGACCACTCCCAATGCTGCTACCGCAACAACTGACAACAACATTTTAGATCAATTATGTCAGAAAATAGCTGCCAGGATGCATGTTTGGTATAATTAACAAAAGGTACAAAATGGAACAGTCCATGTCCAGTGCAATAAGCCATCAAAAGCACCACGCATTACGGTGGCAGCCTTTGTTTGTTTTACATAAAATTCTACTGAAATGGCATTTCAGCATCAGACATTAAGTGGACACTCCAGCTTTAATTACATGGATTTAATTGATTTATGCAAATAAATTGAAGTACAAAATATTCTAGGTTCAACAGACCACACGTACCATACATGCTAAAAACTGTTAACCTGAAGACTAATTGAAATGCATGTGCGTGAACATTTTCTTGAGCAAAAAGAGACATTTATGCGCTGTAAAGACAGCACTAAATTCAATTAGCCTTGAAGAAGAGAACACGCTGAGCAACTACTTATAAGAAGATTAATTAGAAATAAATAAACTGATGCTGAACACATCAGTATGTAACATACATTTGCACAGGCATGGTTGGCACTGACAGACACACTTACACAAACAACTGGGCTTTGAGATAATAGAAGAGGTCTGCATTCCGGCATGAAACAGACTGGAGTGGAGGCCAAGCACCGTCTGCGGCATGGAGCCCACGCCTCGGCTGTACATTGACTCATGAAGCAGACCTCGCCTGTGCCGTTTGTCCCAATTTTCTTTGAACCTTTCTGACAAAAATAACTGGCACAGAGCTGTAAGATCTTCTAAGGCTCTGGCTCTTAGCATATTGCCAGCAGACTCCTTGCATTTTCTGCCTGGGTTTGGGTCCTGAATTTGTTTTTTAAATCTTTCCTACCTCAAGACGCTTTTGCTTTTTTCCTCACAATAAAAATTCTGTTTTGGAAGTGAACATAATGTTGTGAAAGTCATAATAACTTACAAATTGACAAAAAAATTGTATTTAAAATAAGTAAATGACAGTAGAAATAACTACTCAGTTTGTGGTAGAAACAGTAAAGAGGATAGATTATCCAAAAAGAAGTTCAAATACTGTAGTAATAGTTTGGGATGGATTTTGCAAACGGCTATGAAAAATAGACCCACATGGTCACATGAGGGGGCCATCATCATCGTCTTCCTCTAGAAAACTGCATGCCAGCCAACTGTCCCCTACGCAGCAGATGACTGGAAATCTGTTTGAATGAACCTCCACTGCCTTCAACACTCCCGAAACCCTGAACCCCCCCTTTTGCGTCTGTTGTTATTGCCTGGAGAAAATAAATTCTGCCCCTTAAGAGGCATGCGTGTGCATACGAGGCCCTGCAGCCAGCCTGGTGCATGCAGCACCGTGCAGCCAGCCAGGCCACTAGACAGCAAGCCCTCAGGTTATCTGCTCCTCAAGTGGAGCAGTGTGCCGTCCATTACCTCACGTTACTATCTCCACATCCAGAGAAAAGGAAAAAAGCTATTCATAGACACTCTCAGGGAAACTGGGTGAAGGCGCATGCAGTATAGAGTGGACATCTTATTCAGCCTAAGTGGCTGTCGATAATTTCTTAGCAAAAGTAAGTGGATTTATTTCTTATTGATGAGTTTATTTTCGTTCTGTGCACACAAAAGTGCTGAAAATAATATGCACTATTTTTGTACTATTTGGCATCTAAATAGTTGAAACTTTTAACTGATGTTTTTGCAAGAATAAACTAAATGGAAAAGACTAGACAAACAAACGCTTGTGGATGTTCATGCTTGAAATATGACCGACATTTTGTTATGTAACATTATCTGAATCTATTCTACTTCAACTACTATGTAATTATATTCCAGTATGTTATTTTCAAAGGCTTGAATGAGGTAATAATTTAGGTAGTATAACTTAATAACCCTTTTAATGTATTTCAGCAGCACTTTTTCATGTTGTCAGTCTTAGATCTGTATCAACTTGCTGTCCTCAAGCATAGAAGAAGTCCATTGTTTGCTGCTGATATCTTCAATTCAAATAAAACGACAGCATAATGGACATGTTGGACTACACAAATAGGATTCATGGTAAATGCATTAGTCCTGGCTTTAAGTTAAGAGGCTGAGGTATAGCTATAGTAGGCTGTAGTGTACATGCTGTTAATGATAAGCCAAACAAACTGGGTTAGATCTCCTAGCCTGGCAAAACAAGACTTGTTGAAACTTGGATTATGTTAACAATTGCTGCTGAGTAAGGGAAACTGTAAAAGCCAAGCTCTTACAATAACATTTAAAAAACCGTGTGCTTTTAGCTTTAAAAGTCAAAACCTTGGAGAAGGAGAGCAAAGCAAAGTAAACACAATTAAAACCATGACTTCCTTCTTAGGAGTTTCACTGGAAATTGAAACCCAGATTTTTTTACCTTCATCTCACTTTGCATAAAACACTCTACAAAGTCCAACATATAGCAGCTTAAGATTTTTGTTAATGACAACAAAAGTCTCCCATACCCACATGAGTTCGATTTATGGCTTGTAGTTTTTCTCTCTGAATTTAAAAGCAGTCTTTGAGAATTTTTTGTTGTTTCTTCCCTTTTTCATCTGCCTTTTTTGTCGACAGGGTTCCATCCTGGTTGCTCCGACAACATAATTATATGTAGTTAGGCATGAGCAACGGAGAGGATTGAGTGCGAGACAGCAGCTTTGGAAGAAGAGAGCGAGTGCTGTAGCATGGTGGTTTGTCATTACTGGTCGGTTTGAACCTTACACAGAATAAGCAGCCCAAACTTGAAACTGAGCCAGTAACAGTTTGTAGTCTAGTCCTTATGCTTCTCTCATTTTCTACTTGAAAAACCCCACCCATTAAATAAACACAGCATATCATATGTCACAAGGAAGAGATACTTCTAGCTTTAAAGTGTATGAAAATTCCCAAAAGTGATATACTTTTACTTCCTGGTTGTATGCACAAATATAATTTTCATGGGAGCAATGCACTACTACTTTGTATCATATGTTGACCAGGGCCCTTTCTTTGGCTCATCTTCTGAAAACCTCAAGTATTTCATATTTCACTTAGCAGAAAATATGAATAGAGAATCTTCTTACAGGAGCAATCCCACAGATGTGTCACATCTAAATTCTGACTTAAATTCTAAACTGTAGAACTCAGAGCAATTGACTCACTCTTCATGCCCTCAAAAGGCCAACAGCATCTGCCCTGTCCAACAATCTATAGCACTCCACAGTCATTCAAACCTGAAAACATTCAAGCACACACACACACACACACGTAGCACTCTTTCCCCATCTTGATAAGATTACAGTGAGCGGGTTGGTGACAGCCTCTGGGCTTGCTAGAGGAGCCGTTGATATCTGAGCCATCGTCTTCAGCCAGAGAGCAAAGAGATAATATATCAGAAGAGCTGACCTCACCAATGAAATCAGCCTCTCAAGAATCATGGGAACTAACGTGTCAACATAGGACAAAAGTAAAAAAACTAAATAAAAAACAACCTAAGTATTTAGACATATCATTTAAGTCCTTATTGCAATTCCTTCCTTATTGCATGCCCATTGACAAATAATTGATGTTCTCAAAGTTTACTTATTGACAATGTTTGTGTTTAAATTCACTACTGAACAAAATGCACAGGAAAGTAGTACATTAAAAGAACTGAAAGTTGACTAAACAACGATGCAATTCTTGCATGATTTCGGATAATAGAAACTCATATCTATCTCTCTTACAAAAAGCAGGGGCAGGGTCAACACAGAAAGAGCTTTGTATCTATTGTAGCTCCTGACCACCTACCAAGAGCCCTTTAGAGAGGCACTCACCCTGGAATGATCAGACCACTTCTCCCTCAAGGCTCCGCAGGCCTAAGGAGGCCACTAGGCCAAACACATCCTGCCCATCTCCTGAGAGATTATCCAACTCAATGAACACATAGAGGGCAGGAACACAGAACGAAACTGGAGCCTGCTATTCAACTGAACCAAAAAAACCATACTCTTCATTCATACGCGCACTAAAGACTAGGCAGGAGTGGGAAGACGTGCACTTACTGGCTACTTCCAGCGAGGCGTTGTGGCTCACTGCCTCTCCCAGGTAGTTACGAGCAACGCAGACGTAGGAACCTTCGTCCGGTTTGCTCCTCCGCCCGTGGACGATGCGAAGGAAGAAGAGCGAGCCGCTGGGCAGCAGCATCCGCTGCGAACGGGGATTGTCCCGGTCCGTTTCCACCCGCTCTCCATCCTTGTACCACTCCACTGTCGGGGTGGGCCGCCCCTCTGCTTTGCAGTTGAGCGTGGCGGGCTCCCCTTTGGAAACGATCAGGTCCGATGGGTGCTCTACAATCTTGGGTGGAGTGTCCTCTTGGCGCAGACGAGATCCTGAGAAAAAAAAGATCAAGAAAATGAAAGTTTCCATCTGAATGTATTTTAAAGCCATGATCTAACTATTAATGACCGTTACTGACAATATCTCTCATCTCAGGAGATGCAAAACTCAATCTTTTTCAATAAGAAATGTGTTTCGTTAGAATACTAGTAGGAACTAGTCAATTCACCAGCTCTCATTTTTCTCAAGAGGAGTCACACTAATTTGTTTTTTAAAGTGATCTTGAGCAGTTCTGGAGGCTTTTAAAGGAGACTTTAGAAGACTTTTGCACTTTAATGAATATAATACTAGTTCTGCTCTGATATCAAAATATCAAATTTAAAGTCAGAAAATTTATCAACAGAGTTTCATATTTTTAACTTGTTTATAACAGATACAATTTGTAAAGATCCCAGTTTTAATAATGTGTAAACAAAGATATAGTGAAAACACCTTCAGTAAAGTTTAGTAATGCGGCTACATGACTATGTAACATTTTTCAGATCAAAGAGCAAAAAATAGTCTAGAAAAGTAACTGTAAACAGGACTGAGACGCCTCGAGGGTGAAATGTTTTTAAGACATGAAAGGTAAGAAGTGCTGCACGCAACTCACACCGTACTCAAAAAGAGAGAAAAAAAAGAAGTGATTATAAAAACTGAAGCAGCCAAAAAAGTATTAGCAACCGAACCAAAGAGGATAACACCCAGCGCTATCATTGGCCGTATCACATATTTTATCTCATATTTTGACCACTCAACTGTGGCTATCAAACCTGCTTTACATGCAAATAATCTTCCTGTTGTTAATTCCTGAAGGGTAGGACTTGATAGATGTGAAAGAACTGTACATATACACATACGATATGTGTTGTGCTCATCTGAGATAAAGATGGCCCGACATATTGCCCAGTATAGGCCTTTGGAGCCCATTCAGCTCCAATTAAGGAGAGTCAGGTGTAATTGGAGGCACAGGCCTGCAATTAATTTACCCAGCATCCCGTGAACTTGCCACACTGCCCCATTTATGTGCCAGCCAGGAAATCTGGATGCTGAGAAGGCATGTTCTACTGGTCGCCACATATTTTAGGCAGCGTCAGCATAATTAGTGGCAGCTCTGTGGAAAGATTAATCACCGGAAAGCACATATGTGGTGTGGTCAGTGAAATATAATTAATCCAGCAATGAAGTACATCACAGTCACAAGTCTTTTTAAAGTCATGGTTAAGGTTATGATGAAGATAGGCCAAAGCTGTGTGGACCTTTTGAAAAAAAAAAAGATAAAAAGTATCAGGAGTTCAGGAGCTTTGTGTTTTGGCAGGTGGAAACATTTAGTTTCTGGACATCTATATGTGCAATAACACTCATTCTAGGAATTTCTGGATACATTAGATGTTAAAATTGTTACAAAATCATTTGGTTTGGTTGGTTGCTATTTTAATGAAATGGTGATTAATTACAAGGTCATTTGATTTTATGTGGTTGCTTTTTTCCTATGATAATACAGAGTCCATAAATTCCTAATTATTGATATTTCATCTGTCTTTAAAAATATGTTCGACACACAAGACAAATAATAAAATGATAATGATTGGGCCTGAATGAGCTCTTAGTGCTCAATAATTGTTTTAATAAAATAACCATATACATATGGAGAAAATTATGGTAACTTTAAATCAAGGATCTCAAACTCCAGTCCAGTTGTCTTGGCAGATTTATGAAGAACCTAATAATTTTTTAGGCGATCCATTTAATCTAAAAACATCTAAAACCTGCAGGACAGAATTTAAAATCTTTGCTTTAGATAGTGGCGTGTTATTATCATCTAAAGCATTTCAGGAACAACTTCTTTCATGATAAATATATATTACACAACTCAAAGGTTTGTGGCTAAGTATAACAAATATGTTATATGACTGTAATTCTGGGAGTAAAACATGTGAAAAATGTGTCTGTAGATTAAAGCATTTAAACAGGCAGATAGAGGCAGATAGGAATTAGTAAGTAACCAACCAATCCTTTGACAAATAAGCGCAATATCTGGCACTGAATTGAGTTGATTAAAAAATGCATATCCATGCTTTTGGCTTTTCGGGCTGCTTTAGCACAACTAAGCTAATTAGCCTCCATTTTCAGCTCCCTCTCATCACAGTCTTTTGAACCCACAGACCTCATGCAAATAAGAACTTGAGTTAACACAAGTGGCGTGCACGTGCCCATTATAGCTGAAGCAACTGCGCAGCAACCACCGCCCTTCTCCACGCAAGGCGTGTAGTATGTTTTATTAACGAGGACTTTGAAGAGCCGAGCCACTATCTGCACAGCCCTTTCCCTTCCAGATTTAGAGACCTCGTCGCTAATTTGAAGTAGTCTGAAGTTTGGGGTTTATGAGGGAATTATTAACTATTTAGATGTGGCCCGTTGTGAGGAGAGCCGAGTAGTAGGCAGGGCTGTGTTTGATTGGTGTCTCTTTACTTAATAATTACACCAGATCTGAAGGATAAACACGCAGATTGGGAATAAAATACACAGAAAGCTGGTAAAAATAAACTGGGCAAACATTCACCAGCTACGACTAAAGTAAAACTAAAATGTGTGTGTAATCTCTGACAGAATGTGTGTTTTAAAACCGTGAGAGGGTCCAGGCATGTATCAGTTACACAATGCTATTATCCCCTGGATGTATATGGAGGCGCACAGCTCTGATTCCCTTCAGACACTCTGAGTAACCTCTGGTACTTCAGCTCCATCACCCCACACCCCGGGAAAAAAGATACAGAAGGAGGTAAGGATCATTCTTTAAAAGAAAAAACACTTGCCACCATCTACAAGTGCCAACGGCTTTGCAGTGATGAGGACTGGTGGGCTAACTTCTGTCTTTCCCTGCTTAGAAAACTATATCTGAGATAAAAATCAGACAAAGTGTGCGCACTTCATGGCTGTACCAAGATTTTCTCTGTCTCTTCTTCACTTCACTTCGAGTCATATAACCCTCCCCTTTTTCAAAGTGCTGCTCTTCCTTCTCCTCTGCTGCTTTCACCCCCCCCCCCAGTCTTTTAACTTCCAGACAGAGAATGTGAGATGAGCTAATGCAATACACAGCCTCACCAAAGGGAAGCTGGGACTTCTATTGCAAGGATCTGATCGATTGGTGCCTGAGGCTAGTTTCTCCTCCTCCCTCAACCCCTTCACTTGGTGTAGAACTCCATTTCTTTCTTTCTTTTTTTTTCATTTACTCACATACACACAAATTCACAAAGTTAGACGATGCTTGGGGGAGATCTTGCTTGCTGTGGAGGTAATTAAAAAAAAGCTCAAGTCTTCTCTGACTTCTTAAAGCAATTCCAGAAAGAAAAATCCCAAAAGCAACAATGAAGCGAAAAGCACTGGACCCATCCATACAACCAAACACAGGGGTCTGGACCTCGAAACCGACCCATATACTGTATTCATGTAGGGATCCATGTGGGCCTCCAGGCGCTTGCTCTCAAAAATACAGATTCTTAGCACCTCTAGTCACTCCAGTTCCCTCCAGTCAACAAAGCATAACGATGAGATTTGTTATGGTTCTCAAGAAGCCAAAGCAATCCTGCTGGCCAATAGATCATGTTAAGATTACGGCTACCAGCTTCTTATCAATTCATCTGTGTCCTGGGGCTAAACTTGATTTTCTTCCTGCAACATGAGTTTCTATTCGATGGATGTACTCCACAAGATAAGCCTGCTCAATCTGATAAAAAATAAATAGATAAATAAATATGGATAAGAGGCTTTTGGTTAATTACCATGCAAAAGCATAATGTGACCTACTGGATCAGGGGGCTCATCTTCCAGTGGACTTTATTAGACTGGATAAGTAACGCATTTACTCAGTAATTTAGTTATTGTGTGGGATTAATGCAACCTGGAACACAACACAATATTATCACAATTAAAAGCCAAAATGTGAAACTAAAGAAAAGGTGAATTCTGCAAGTCAACGGATTTGTGATGCCACAGTAGTCACCCGCCTGGGAGTTTTCTGATATTTCTCTGCAAAGTCTATAGGTAAAATCATATGTAAAAAATGTATAATACTCCCCACGTAATATATCCATACAGGAAAAAGTGGCGTGAAGATTGAGAGAAGCTGGATGGCAAAGTAAACAACAGCATGAAAACAATTACAGAGCTGCTATAATCAGTTCTGGTCCAGTGATTTTCCCAACTTGAAAAAAAGTGCCATTTTCTCACAGCGTTTTTTTTTTCCACGGCTACTATCTTGGCAGCTTATGATGAAAAGGAAGGGAGCCAGGCACATGCTCCTTACCCAAAAGAACTTGACGGAGAGAGAGACAGTGAAGCAATTTAGATCTGTTGTCACTTTGTTCCCCTGAGGTGGGGAAACAGCATAATGTGTCTTCTTCCTTGAATCATAAAACAGCCTAACAGCTCTGTGCTATTCACTCTAATTCCTGCCGTTGAACAAAGGATCTTGGCCGAGAATTTGAATTTTAATTACGAGTGAAATGGCGATAAAGTTTAATTTCCCTCTATAAGGATGCTCAAGGTTACAAATTCCCATAAAAAGAGGCACTAAAATAGACAGGTGTCGCAGGGGTCTGACACATATCAACACAGATGTCCAGATGATATAGAATATGGATCTGTGATAAGGGAGGCCTAACACAGAGGGGCATTTCCTATCTACAGCCCCATTAATCCGTGATTAGGGGACTTAAGAGGGATTTATGGCAGAGATAAGAGCAGAGGGTGTGTCCCTAAGGGTATCCAGGCAGACACTGGAGCCATGCCTGCTTGGGATGGGGCTGGCCAATTTAATGAGTGAATGCAATGAGAAAAGGCACCCTTTTCTGTTGAATTAGAGAAGATAACAGAGGGAGAGGGCAGAGATAAGGCGGAGGGTCGGAAACCAAGAGAAAAGGCAAGGTACTGTAGTCCTGCTGATCAGATGACATTAGCAGGAAAGTGAAACAGAATCTTTTACCGTTTCAACCTCCCAATCCCACCCTGGAATGTGCTGCATGAATGACTTTGCCACTTGCATCAGATCAAACCTGTTTTTAATGTTACACAAGGCTATCGCTTACACTCCTAAGAGGCAGGATTAGGGCCCTGTGTGCGAGTGTGTACAAAGACCAGGAGGTGGGGAGGTGGAGGGGGATGATGGATCGCTTTATGGCCTCTTTCTATCCTCATCTCTTTGTCTCCATTTACCAAACAGAGCAGAGTATGGTTACCTTGCTCACACCACAGTAGCATTTAAGGACAAATATCACTTTATTAAAAAAAATACATCTCAGTCCAAAGTCGTACTATCCAGGTAAAGCAAAGCTTAAGCTTGCCAATCGACTTTGAACACAACTACACTATCGCTGCATTATTTAAAGATTTTACTGTTTTTGTTGTTCGGGGAACAGAGGCAACACTCCTACAGACGATTACAGCGTTCCCATTGGTATTTGGATGAAATATGACATCTACAAAGTTTAACACAAACACAAGGCCCCTTTGTCATCATTAGGTAGGAACAAGTAAGGGGGAAAATAACAGCAGGCTGCATTCTGCTGTGCCTCTGCGGTAACTGCACAAACATCTATTCAATCAAAGCCTTACATTTCAAACAATATAGGAAGTTGAGACGAGCTGGGAAAGTACCACTGGATAAAACCATGCTGAGTATGACCCTAAACACTAAAGCAGGTAGCGGGTTAATCTATTATAATGAATAGGATGTAATAAACTATCAAAATCTCTTAAGAGTTACTTTATTGTCATTTCTGCCTTTGATCGGCCTGTTGCTCGTTTGTCATCTGCAATAAAGAGATGACAAATCTGCTGATGATAGCATAAGCAGCGCTCATTCCTTTGCTCGGGGCCAAGGGTTACTAACATAAACTCCAATGCTCTGGAAGATCCACAGTGATGGCTCATCGAGACTTGAACTAGGGGAAATCTCACAGGGCTCGGCTCCTTGATGTGTCAGCTGGGAAACACATCCCAGCAACACAGGCCAAGCTGGGACACAGACACTGCTGCAGACAGCTCCTCTGGGAGGCTGGAGCCCATCCTGAGCTGGGCCTCCGAGCTGAATCTCAGACAATAGGAGCAGTATTTTTGCTATTCTTAAGCAGCAGGCTTTTCCCAAACATAAATCACACATGCGGAGGATGATTTCGAATAGGATGAATGTGTACTGAATATACAGTAACTGCTTAATTACAATTATTGGATTGCATGTTGTAGATTTACACTGTCATATTTCAGACTATCAACAGAAAAACAACTGAGTAACTTTGGGTTGACATGACAAGGGGAGAAGCTATACCAAATATTAATGGATTATGAACAAAAACCCAAGGGACATAATTGTGGATGAGTTGTAGACAATGCCAATCTGCTCCAGAGAGTGTCATTAAAGACAAACAAAAGCTGTCAAATCCTGCAATAAGGCCATGAGGGCACTATCCATTCCTGCAGGATGAATTCTCTGTCTCATATCAGTTCTCTGAGACCAGGAAGAAATCTGTGGCGAAAAAAACTGCAATGCTTGTTAGGAAGCTGCCTGTCAAATTGGCTCTGGAGACCGGGCAGATGGGCTGAACGGAGCAGAGTGAATGCAAGCAGAGAGTCAGTCTGTCTCTATGCAAGTGTGTTAGTCAGTCTGTTTTCTATCCATCTACACACAGTGTAGTTTTGTGTGCGTTGTGTGCGACATGCAGAACTCTCTCAGACTCCTCAAGCTGACCCCTGCATTTTCACAGTGACGACCTGAGAAACTCCCGCCACATTTCTCAGGAAAACTGGTGTCAAGGATGTCATTGCTTCAGCAGGCAAGAAACTCTAGGAAAAGGGTTGCAATTAATTCGAAGCCCGGATGCCAAGCTGAGGCCTTCTGACTTCCACATGCAGCACAGCAAATGTTTGGAGAATAGAGCGAGGATTAAAGGAGGGGAATGAGCTCTGCAATTAGCTCTTGTTTGTGTTTTCTAGCTTTAATGAGGTTCGACCAGTGCGATCTTAGTTATACATGAATGATTTTAACAATAGCAGGATGGAAGAAGCGGGGTAATTGAACACGCTTTCCTAAATGAAGACGGTGCAATTCCCACTGCTGAGTTCACAAAAAATCAGTAAAATGTCATTTAATTAAACCGTTTGCTTGGTATGTGTTAGACAAATATATGTTTACATGGATGCATAAGGAAAATACTAAAATTAGAAAATGACAATAAGGTAAATGTAAATAAAAATGCTTAGTGCATGCTTGATCTAATCTAAAAACTGCTGTCTGCTCTGTTTTGTGTGTAAACAACAATTTGGCAAAGTAATTCTCTTTTCGCAAGGTCACTGGGAACAGGCTTCAGCATTTCTGTTCCTGTGACCGGCCACAGGGGGATTGTGGGGGGGCCGGGGGAGCGGCGGGGGAAGAGCAAACAGCAGCACACTCAGCTGGCACGGCCCAGCCACCGAGAGTGCAGCACGCGGGACCACAGCCAAGGAAAAGAACAGCTCTGAAGAGATGCCAAAGTGGATCAGGGCAGGCACGGCCAAAAAGCACCTAATGCTTTTTAAATGTTATTTTTTGATTGCAAGGGGTGATACAGGTCTACTGCTGGAGGAGTGTTGTGTTACAGGCCTTAGAGTGGAGCCAATGACCTTAACGGCTTAAATATAGGCTGTCCTAAATGCTTGGTAAAACACATTATAAAGGAAATATCAGTCAGCTGGGTGTTGAAAGAAAATTTCATTTATAGTGTTCACTCCAGAGTAAAAAGTTATGTCTGAGTGCTCCATATTGACATGTTCCTTTCTGGTGTATTTAAGGGTTCAATGCTCAATGTTCAGTGTTTGCGAGTTATTGTTGTTGGTGGATATTTGCTGCAGCAGCTAACATGTTTTGGCTGAGGGAGTATTATTAAAGTAAAACTTGGCAATAGGTTAAATCACTGTGGAGCCATGTGGCAAAATGACTCCGACATGAGCCTGTTGAGAGAGGCATGGCCCAAGTCCAGTCAAATGGAACACAAATCGCCTCAAACTATTCAGAACCTGGCCTGGAAAAAATTAAAGTGGGATGTAAGGTTGGCCATGTGATGCACAGTAAATATTTGGTCAAAATTAATGAGGGGGCAAAGTCTGCCAAGAACCCGTTTTTTTTTTTTTTTTCTAGGCGTCCACATAGGAGGACTGTGCCCAGTCTGGCATTAAAAAGATATTTCCTTTTTCAGACAACTGCTCACGGGCCTATCTACTTTCCAGCACCCACTCATCATGTCTTCCCCACAAAAGTCAAACAAAATGTACAGGTAGACTGTACTGAAACAATATTCCCAAAATACTCCTTTTCTTCCATGTTGCAATTCAAAAGGCTTCATAACTGAACCCAGACAAGGTTGCCATGATCAAATGTCCAACAGAGGAGATATTCCTCCTCCTTTCAACATGCCCATTTTGTCTTTATATGTAGACACATATAGCCAATGATGTCATTCAGTATTTCTAACCTATTGAATGTGCATTTAGAACAGAATGTAATATGGGATGCTTTTTTTTAACCTTTTTTTCTAAGGTGGGTTACTATAACAAGCCTACCCAGGTAGTTTTAATTTAAATGGAATTCAATGAGTCAGTCATCAATGATCAAGTTCCACAAATAATGTATTTTATGTCTTACCATCATTGTGTTTTGTGTGCTTAACCAATATTGAAATTGCCATATTTTTCTGTTCACATAATGTGCTGGTCTCAATGATTGGCACAAAAAGACCAATTGTCCAACGTTATAGCACCTCACTGCTCCATCCACTCGCTCACTCAGACATGTGACAGAAATGAAGTGGCAGAGAGTTGACAAAGTCTGAAAGGGCTAATCTTTACTCACAATTTCTGAGATTATCTGACAAAAGAAACATGCAAGTCGAGACAGTTTTCTTTGGCATCTGAGGTTAGGTAAGGGTTCCATATAGGAGGGCTCTGGACCCCTACAGTTTTATCACGGTGGGCTAGCTTGGCTTTGAGAAACATGATTTAACACTATTTCCGTCAAACTAACTTGTTTACATGCATTTCAAAGGTTTAGTGAGAAGAGTTGTTATCTTGAGTTGTGTAAGCAAGCTGTATTATGACCTGTAAATGGTGCAGGGAAATGGCATTAGGGGTAAAAAGTTTTTAAGTAGAGCAACTGTAAACATTTTTGAGGAATGAATCTTGAAACCATAAGCCATCTAAGTCTTTAAAGCTTGAAGAACCTGTCTCTCAAACAGCGACTGCAATTGTTATTCAATTAGTGTGTGGGTACTGACAACGGCTGGTGGAAAACAGTGACAGCCAAAGAAAAAGAATTGCTCAAATGACGGAGGAAGTTTTGTAAGACTTTAGAAAAAGTAAAGTTTCTTTTCAAAGTTTTTGGCATAATATTAAGTGCTTCCCATGTGCTTCAAAACGGTTTGTCCTGTTTTTAAACAGTACATTGGCTTTTTCCGAAACTGCAAACTGATGAAAAAGACAGAAAAAGAGGATGATTTCAGTGGTGATACCAGGTTTAAAATAGCAGAAAGTAGGTAAACCCGGTAAGCGAATAGGATTAAAGCTAATCTCCCAACTCATAGCCACGGCGTACTTATGTTTAGAAAATCCAGCAGTTTTGTGAAGCCCCCTTCACTATGGTTAAAGCTGAATGGAGGTTCTAGCTCCAAAAGCCGTAGTATAACAAGGAATTTCAAGGTCACTTTCTCATTAATTATGTTTTTCAGTCATTCCCCTTACACAGAGAGCATCCCCCCTCCTACTTTTATCACCGTCTTTTGTGAGGGAAAATCAGCCCCCTGGAACTGGTAGATTAAGGTGCTGATGCAAACAGAGATTTTTAACAATTAATTCTAGACACAAACTGCACTCTGTCATATGAAAAATGTTCAAAATGTAAAATGAACTGAAACCAATATTTGATCAAAGAAAACCCTGTCAAAAGACTGAATCTTAACTATGACTGTGAGTGGGAGGAACCAGATACATTAATCAACTAATTAGCAGTCTCTCTTTTAACTGCTAATTCAATCTGCTCCTCTCAGCTTTTTTTTGATGGTATTTTCCCCTGTCAGTTATAACCAAAGAGAGGGTTTAGCATTTCAAAAGTGCATCCAGGCCTTGAAACGAGAGGGTAATAGAACGGTCACAGAGGCCAGGAGGAGGCCTGAGCTCAGGGAGGGAGAAAGAAAAGAAGGATGCAGGGAAAGGCTGTCCTCAATGAAATCCCTCTGTCTCCCCAGCGGAGAGTATAAAAGGGAAGGGAGGTCTGAGCCTTTTTAAAATGCACAAGGCAGAGAACCCCGTGGTAGCACGGCTTCACCTCCACTGCAAATGCGAGGACCGAGGCAAGCCCTGTGGGAGTTTTCCGAGCATGCACAATTTCGGTGTGTGGAGGATGTGGACCGTACGCTTCCCACACTTGAGCTCTGCCCCATCTTTCATTTACTCAGCACTTCTAAAAAATCCACCTCACCTTCTTACCCAGATTTCTACCTTTAAAAAGAAGAAAAAAAAACAACACCAGCGGTCTTGCCTCACAGTTTTTTCCATCTCTATCACCATAATCAGCACATTCGGGTGCCGCAAGGGACCACTAAGAATAAGCAACGCGAGCATACGAGGCAGGGCGAAAAGAATTCCCAGTGCTGGTGTATCATGGTATGTTTGACTCCTCCGTCCTGCCATTCGTCCCTCCCTACATCCCCCATTTCCACACCCCGGGGTAGCCTTTGTGAAGCCGCACTCCTCCCCTCAGCACTCCTTACACGCTCTCAGCCTGTAGTGAGCCATTCTCCTCCCCTCCTCCATGCCTCACAATCCGCCCGTTAAAGGCAACACAATGCAGCCTCCCCATCCCCACAGGCTTCCCCCTGCATGTCAGCCTGCTTTATCTAAGAAAGACTCCGCAATGACCAGTCACAAAAAAGGCAAGTCTTAAAAAATTTGGGCCAAAACAAAAAAAAAAGAGAAAAAAGAAAAAGGAGGGGGATGGGTAAGAGGATGAAGAGATTCCTGAAGCCCCCTTTCACCACCCCACACAAACACAAACCCCACATCTCTCTCCTTTTCTTCTGGCTCACATCTTTATTACTAACGTCATAGGGAAAGCAATGTCAGGCCCACACTGGCCCAAGTCAGCACGCAAATGAAATCAAACGCACACTAATTGTGCTTTACTTTTAAAAAAGCGAGAAGAAATGAGGAAATTCTAATTGCGCTATTGATGATCCGAGACATAAACCCGATAACACTTTTCATTCTGAAAGGAACACCATTTATCACTTCTATAGAGGAGAAGCAATAAGGACTGTTTGTCTAGACATAATGTCCAAAACCAACCATACAAGGCCACCATGCTTATATCAAAATTAAAAGATTTCTTTTAAGGATTAAAAGAACAGTTGATTAAGTGAACTTCCATAGCACTGTTAGCAAGAAGGAGAGCTAAATCTCCTGAACTCAGAACTGAATTGAATAGAATTGAATTCTGATGTGACATTGTTACTTCTTTTAAAAGAATAATGTTTATGCAAAGGACCTCTATGAAGGTATCTGTTGTTATTTAATTGATCTCCTTCCTCCGTTTGACTCTGCACATCAGTTGAGGTGGAGCAAATGACAAACTACTGATGTCAGACAGATTTGTTAATTAATCCAATTAAGCAGCGCTTTCAGGACAGAAAAGGAAGAGCAGTTGGAGGAAAGCAGATCATTAAACGTTGCCGCCTAATTTATCCGCCCTCAAACAAACTGCCCTGAAATGTTTATCTTGTCAGTCATTAATGACTTAGCTGCAGTTCCCATGAACAGGAAGAGGACCTGGGCTGAACCTCAGGCACTCCTCTGTGTGGTTTCACCAAGACAAAGACTGCCTAATCCCAAATATTACCGTTTGATTTGGATTCTGATCTGATAATTGTGTATTTAGTACACATTGATCAGATTTTTGATTTGATTTATATAAGTTATATGGATAAAGTTCTAAGCAAGACACATCTAAGCAAGACACCTTGCTTAGATGTGAGATATGTCAGTTAAAGAGATACTTTCTTTCAAAACCACCAGTTCTGAAGCACAAATTCTGAGAAACGGTGTAATCTTGGGGTACAATCTTGAAAGTGTTTAAAAGCCTGGCTGTGTGAGATGTTTAAAGAGGAAAGGCTGATCTTTTCAAAATTGCTTTCATGTGTTGTGACAGGTAGAAACGGAGATGAGTCTCACCGGTGGTCTGTGGTCATTAACTGGCTGTGAGAACTGCTGTGTCCTGTCACGGCGCTCTGATGTAGGAGGTGGAAAGGCTCCGCGATTTATCAGCACTTATGAGTCCATTTGTCATGACCTGCATGGTTTGGTGCTGCTGGGGGCCGATTACCAGGACGCCACTCCCACTGCCCACATCTTTATCAGCTCCTGCTCTGTTGTGCTACACATAATTACCCAGCGACTTTACAGCGCCGTGGGTGTAAACTCAAAGAGATAAGTCAGACATTTGCCTTGGAAGTTGAATCATTCCCGTTAATATATTTATTGCCCTAACAGCCTTTATCTCCTCAGAGTAATCCGGACTATCCTACTGCGGACGGCCACCTCTTGCCACCATCAGAATGTTACCTCTGTGGTGAGTGTGAGGTCTGAGGAGCACACGGAGGAGAGATAACAAGCGTTTAGTGTATAGAAGGAGGACAGATCACCTGATAACAGGGTGAGACATAACAGATGGAGGGATCCATTTACAACCGTCAGACAGAGCAAAGTGGTAATGAGCGAGTCATCACGAGTTTGAAGGGGCAAAGGCCATCGTACGCCTCTTTCTATTCTACAAATGCAGTATAGGTAGGTTTAAAAAACCTGCCACTGGTGCTATTTGTTTTATAAAGATTCTGCCGATTAAATACATCGTAAAGTTAACCTCTCTATCAGAGGCAAAAATGAGACATTTCAGCTATGCAATGCAGGCTTAGTTTTCAATGGTTAAGAAGCCCCATCATGTGGCATGAAATCCAATTTTCTTGACTTGAGTTTTTAATCCAAGACCAGTCCTTTGAGTATCAACTGTTCAGTCCATCTCTATTGGCAGGCCCTGTTATCATCATACGAGCCCTCATTACACATGCACAGACATCTTCACAGTTTGACATGATCGGAAACCTTTAGAGAAAAAACTTTGTCACAGGACAGGCCCATTTCTGACTCAGGGCTCGTCTAAAGGTGACACAGATGAAGCGACCAACTCCTTCTCGGAGCTCACCTCTGACCCTACTTCCTGTTTAAGTGCTACACTGTTTCCTCAATCTACAGCAGAGCCACAGCAGTTGCCTCACTCCATATCTTTGTCTACATCTAGAAAAAAGACCCTATCTGTGAAACCAAAGCAAAAAAGACATGAATGAAAGATTGATGAAATATGGATGAAGAAATCTTACCATTAAAGAGTGAATAACAACATTTTATTTTGTGCTTGAGAGACAAATTTAGCAAAAAAGTACATTTAGACCATAGATAACTGAAATCAGTTGAATGTATTCTTATCTTTCAGGGCTACCTGCAAACAGGAGACACATTGGGACCAGTAGGCAATAGATAACTGTCAAATTATGACATGTTTTTAATTTTATGGTTTAAAAAATTATGCTTTTACTCAAGTAATTATGGGTGAGCTGAATATAACCCAGCTACACTTCTGATAGGCCTGTAATGAGTATAATTCTAAAAAGTCTTAAGATACAACATTTGGTCTATTTGGTCTAAACTTGTCATTTTAAAAGGACCATATTCACCCAGCTTTTAAAATCCAGTTTAAAATCCAACATTAGGGCATGTCTTATTACGTGGTGGCTCACTTCTTAACTCTAAAGCAACTGACCTGGAAAACCCTGGCCAGCACGGTCCACAGACTGTATACAGACATGCATGTGATAGGTGAAGAGAAAAATGTGTAAGATAAAGGGGGGAACTGCAAAGCAAAGACACCTAAAGGCTGTTTTACTTCTACATAATAAAAGACTCAAAACTGGATCAAAGGAGGCTAAAAGTCCCTTGAAAATGGACAAAGAAAAAGCAAGACTCCATTCCATTAAACATACTGCAAGTTTGCATTCAAAAAATGAAAATATTACACTCAGCAATAATAATCATCCAGAAGGAGAATGGTGACATACATGGAAACATGGTTCCCACCGGGGTTTCTGCTGTCCGTATGACCGATGATAGCTGCTCTCCTCACTGATCCCATATGGCCTCAGCACTTTCTGTATGTGTGCTCAGCTTTAAAAGTTCTACGATCCCTTTACCCTGAACGTTGACTTTCTTAGCCTGAGAGGAAATTGCACTATTGTGTCATTTTTGCTTTAGTCGAAGGCATTTTAAGTTGAGTTAGACCCCAAAAGTTTATTCTCTAACAAATTCCAGAGCAGGGCCTTGAAAAGTGACCGTTTTGAATGAGTTCAATGTTAAAAATGGCTTTTTATTGTGGTTTTGTTTGTGGTGCCCACATTGAGCCGGGCCACATTTTCACCCAAAAGCACACCACCAAACATAAACAAGAAACGGCTTTCTTTTTCCTCTTTTTCATTCCTCTCTTTACGTTTGAAGTCATTCAAATAAACTCTGTACTCAAGTGGCATCACAGATTACTATTACAACAACTATTTCTTTAATCTTAACAAAAAAAGTTCAATCAAAAGCAACCAGACCAGCTCTGAAAACTGATCTCTAACTTACCTGAGCACACATGGAGAAGTCCTAACAGAAATACAAATCCAATTGAAGTTGGAGACATCATTCAGCGTCTCTCTTGTAAGAAATGTTGCTGCGCAATCCAAATTACTCAAAAAGCAGTTTATGTATCTGCTCCTTCATGTCAAGGAAAAACTCAGAATCCAGAGTAAAGATAACACACAGATGTTGGTGGTCAAAAATCAGAGGTCCCAGACGAGAGTGCTTCAGTTTGTCGAGGGGAGAAGAGGAGAAAACAAATAAAAAAATAACACTGCAGGATCAGTCCCAAATATCCAGAAATGTCAGCACATGTTTTGTTTAACTAGTTCAGCCCAATGTGAATAACAGGACATATAAAAGCTAGAAAAGAGGAGTAGCAGAGCTCTATCCTTTCTTTGGATTCATCCCCTTGCTGCGCGCACTGGTCAGCCAGACTGAAACCATTGAGCTCTTTCTTCACCAAAAATGACAAACACAGCCTCATAAATCCGCCGCAAAGTTTGAGTCCACACTGAGATAAACGACTGGATGCGCTCTTGTTGTCCACTTTCACATTATATCCGTCCGGCTTTGAATCTGTGACTTGAGATCGGAAAGTTTGCGAGTTCGTCCAGTCCCCTCACATCCAGCACACCCGCGGACGCACGATCAGCGCAACTTTTCCATCACTTTTCCTCTGCCCGTTCCGCGTCTGCAGCAGCTCCTACGGATCCGTGTGCGCGTCTCAGACTCCGAGGGCTCAGGCTAGAGGAGGAGGAGGAGGAGGGGGGGCGAGCCGGATCATATTCGCAGCATTTCATTCAAAGAAAAGCCGAATGCTTCGTCAATTTGGTATGCGCCTTTCTACCCCCTCTGTGGACCTGACAGTGTTTCTCAGAGAGGAAATTTAACCTCTTCCCGCCTGGATCCCTCCCGGACAGCGTTGTTAACGTTACACTACCAGCCTACTGTCATTCCCCCAAAGTGTGCCAAACAAAAAGCCAACTCTTATTCAACTGTTCAGAAATGTTTTGTTTTTGTTTTTTTAATTATTTTTACAGGTTTCAACCACAAATGAATGCAAAGCCAATGAAACTGAAAAGTCCTCAAAAGAAGATAAGTATGTTTTAAGTCCTGCAGTATGGAACAAACACTTCAGGGTTTTATTTTGTCTCCTGTGGTTCTACAGTCCATTAATATGTCATTATTCTAAAATATTCTACTTATAAAGCGACTTTTCATCCACCCAAGAAAAAAAAAAGCCCATCAGGCTTTAGGATAAAAATCCGCGTCACTAAAACGCTCAAAATAAAAGTATTACCATTCACATGTTTTTAGACTACAAAGCCAATAAGTCATTAAAGCACTTATTGCCTTTGTTTCCACCTTACACAATGAACAAATCTTAATATAAAACAGAAGAAAACAGCCCAGAGTTCCAGCTCACTAAGGGCTTTCCGGGCTTAAGCTTTTGGTCCAGCTCATATGGAGTTATGATATGGACAGACAAAGGTTTTACAGACCTAACATAAATTAGGCTGCAACTTCTCTGAATGTCTTTCAGAAACTGTTGGGACTGCATCTGAAATGCGGAGAGAACGAGAATGGCCCAGAAAGAACAGCTGAGTCTTCCACATACCTGCCCAATGAGCATTTCTGACCATACAGCGCCCCCCAGTGGACGCTGTCCGAACTGATCTCTGAAGAGCTGTTTACTCCATCAAAAAAAAAAAAAATCCGTCGTTTATCGTTTAAAAAACACAAAATAAGCAATGCTCACATTATAATATTTTGAAACTTGGGCAGATGTCTTTCCTTATTTTCCTAATTAACAAGGAAACCCCATGTTCTTATTAATCAGGGATAAGGTATACACAGAAAAAGCAAAAACAAATTCTCATACAAATGACTCTACGAACAACCGTCATTCTAGAAAAAGCTCAATGAAGCACTGCTCATTAAATAATGCTGTGGCACTGGAAACAGCAGAGAGCAGCCCGGGTTTCACTTCAGTCTGCTTTTATTTCTCATTCACCCATGTGTGCATTACATTACTGTCCAACACACTCCATTCTCACTCGGTCGTCATGTGTCTGATTTTCCTGAAAGCTTTTACGGACGTGGATCTATAAAGTGGCTGCTCAGCTGAATAGCTTCAGCTTAGTTAAATTTCCTCTCAGAAGCAGCCGAGGCTGTAACATATTAGCAATTCTCTGGAAAGTCCACTCTTGGGCCCATCAGCATAACAGATACAGAGAGGCCCGGACTTCTAAAAGGGAGCATTTTAAATGTTTGATGCTGTATCCCAAAGAGTGAAGAGCACAAATAAAACCACGTTACTCACAATGAACATATACGCGAAAGTGCTTACATAAAACAGTTTGTGAGTTGATATACTTATGAATTCTGATTATGGTTGAGAACTCACACTTTCTACAAAAGATTGTTGTAATGCTTGAAATATATATACATGTATATATATATATATATATATATATATATATATATATATATATATAT